TATAGATATATATTTATCTATATATCTATCTATATATATAGATATATATATAGATATATATATAGATAGATGTATAGATATATACCCGCATGTTCATATTGTTCATTTGTAGGATCAATATATAAACGTTTAATAAATGGTTTATAACACAATGTAAGCAGATATGAAGACAGATTATTGTTACAGCTGTTTTATTCTATTGATAGTTATTATGTGTTTATACAGCAGCCTCCACTGATAATAAATATATTATAGATTATTAATAGTAATACATTATATTGTATGTATTATATAATAATATAAATAATAATAATAATAATACAATTGATTATTCATATCTAGATGTCTTAGTGTCTGATTGATGATTGGACTAGAAGTTCTAGATGAGACATGTTTTATATTTCAGGCTGATAATTAATATTCATAATGTTCTATGTCATTAACCATCAAATCATCTACCCACACACACACACAAACACATTAACACACACAGTCTCTCTCTCTCACACACACACACACACTCTCTCGCTCTGATCCTCCCCTGTGATCGATCCTCCTCAGTGTTCCTGGTCTCTGATCAGTTCCCGGCTCTTCTCATCGATCCTCTTCTCCTGTCGGTGCCTCTGGTTCCGTCTGGTTCCGTTTGTCGATGTCGGTCTGGTTCCGTCTGGTTCCTTCTGGTTCCGGTCGCTTGTCCCCTAACTTTTCGGTCTCTTGTTAGCCGTGTTAGCATCTTCTGGGTCTCGTTGCTCTGCTGTTAGCTTCTTCTTCCGGATCTTTTCCAGCACAGAGTCTCTTTGTTTCAAACCGAACCCGCCTCGCTGCTGTCCGGCGGACCGAACACTTAGCTTAGCTTTAGTTAGCCGGTTCGGTTTCGTTATAGCAGGGTAAGCTAAAAGCTAACTAGATAGCTGTTAGCTTAGAGTTAGCAGCTAGCAGTTAGCCTCGGTCCTCCTCGGTCCTCCTCATGCCGGCGATGCTGGAGAGAAACCCGGAGGCTCCGGGGAAGAGGAGAGGCAGAGGCCCGGCGGGCGGTGCCGGAGGCGTCGGACCCGGAGCGGTGTCGAACCACGGGGGGAAGACTCTGTCCGGTAATGGAACCAGCACCAACAACAGCTGCTGGGAAGAAGGAAGCTCGGGAGGCTCCAGCAGCGACGAGGAGCATGGTGGGTAGCCTCGAACAACGTCGTGTACTCTGTGTGTACTACTACTAAGTTATACTGTGTGTGTGTGTGTGTGTGTGTGTGCGCGCAGGTGGAGGAGGGATGCGAGTCGGAACGCAGTACCAGGCCGTGGTTCCAGATTTTGACACGGGTAAGAGTCTAAAGCACCAGGAGTGGTAGCCTCGAACAACACCAGCACTGATGCTGCTCAGCAGAACCTCTCAAACTGGTTCCAGCTGTGTTAGTACTCAAGTCCTACTGGTTCTGATTGTACTGGATCTCAGTGGGTCCAGTTCTGAACTCGAGGGACTAAACAGGAGCAGCTTCTAGCTCTACAACAGATCACTTCTAGTTTGTTTTACAGCTTCTGACCAGACTGGTTTTACTTTCATACTGGGTGTGTTATAGTGATGTTAAAAAAAAATATATATGTATATATATATATATATATATATATATATATATATATGTATAT